TGATTGCCTTCTGCATAGAAAAAATCGTGTCCATCTCCACATTCTAGTTCACACCAGTAACTTAGGTGATCCGCTCTGATATCTCCAGACACCGTTTTGATCAAGCGTTTTGCGGCTATGAGTTAGAGTAATCCGTACCCCCCCCCCCCTCCTTCTAGCACCAAACTGTAGGAACCAAAATTCGCACTGTCGATTTTCCGTAAAATAAGGAAACTTAGGAAAACCCTAATTTTTCAGACGTCCCGGATCTCTGCGAGAACCAACGACAAGTAACCAAATAAATGTGGAAAATATGAAAAACATGATAAAACGAATTTATAAAGAAAATAGATCTTATTTCGAATCTGCATAAGAGCTTGCGATTATTACAAGAGATTACAAAATCTTTGGCCGCAAGAGCTGTCAGCGAGTTATCTAGTTCTAGAAACGGGAAACCTTAAACCTAGTTGAGTCGCAGCTGATAACAAAAGACGAAAAAGATACGAAAAAGGGTTTTGATTGATTTCAGACTGGACCTTATGAAAGGCTGCCTACATACCCCTTTCAAGGATCAAGCTGAACGCAGTTCAATTAACAGAGCTGGACAAGAGATCAAACTGCCTGGGCGAGTTCGTCTAGTAATTGAATGCCAGTCATTGAAACAAAACTTGTCGAGAATAAAGCCTAAGTTTCTATGTGCAGAGAGTTCTAAGTCAAGAAAAGTTGTATAAATTCTCTTCTTCTTTGGTTCGACCTTGTGCTTATATACTCTTCCTCTATGCGGTCTGGGGTTTCCTTTTTTTGCCCCGATTCGTGTCTATCAGAAATCTTCAAATTATCTTGGTCTTCATATTTATCCTTGTAAAACTTCTATTTTACGTCCAAACTTGACATTTATCTATTCTTGCAAATAATGGGTAAACCAGCATCATATTTTTGAACTGGATTTCGTCTAATTCGTAAGTGGGCCTTTATCGCGTTTTAGAACCTTTTGGGCCGTTTTGCGTTTTAGCAATTTTACGATTTTAGACAGATCGTTCTATGATACAATGCCGTTTTTATAAAACATCTCAATTCAATCATTTAGTTTGGTAACCTTCGGTATTTTGTTTAACTGTTTCCTTTTTATAGAATTTACTCGAGTCTTTACAAGAAAACAAGTTTATAGCGGTTTTTATCGTAAAATCCCAACGATAATACGGATCGAGACGAAACGAGAGATATTCCAACCACGGCTCAGAGTATGATAGATTCAAAGGGCATATGGTCAATGGTGAAGACAATAAGGCCAACTCGCCAAGCCGATGAGTCGGTCTTGGTAAGTTCGCCAAGCCGGCGAGCTGGAATTTTCCATCCAGCTCGCCGTCTTGGCGAGCTGATCAGTCTTGGTCAGCTCGCCAAGCTACCGAGCTGGATTGGTCCGTCCAGCTCGCCGTCTTGGCGAGTTGATCGGCCTTGGTCATCTCACCCAGCCGGCAAGCTGGATTGGTCCGTCCAGCTCGCCGTTTGGCTAGCTGTTCATTCTTGGTCAGCTCACCAAGCCGGCAAGCTGGATTGGTCTGTCCAGCTCGCTGTCTTGGCGAGCTTATCGCCTTGGTCAGATCGCCAAGCCAGCGAGCTGGATTGGTCCGTCCAGCTCGCCGTCTTGGCGAGCTGATCGGCCTTGGTCAGCGTGCCAAGCCGGCGGGTTGGATTGGTCGGTCCAGCTCGCCGTTTTGGCGAGCTGGATTGGTTCGTCCAGCTCGCCGTCTTGGCGAGCTGATCGGCCTTGGTCAGCTCGCCAGCCGGCGATCTGGATCGGTCCGTCCAGCTCGCTTCGGTCGTTTCTTAACTTCTCAACCCAAGATTCTTTCGGAGAACATAAGGAGAAGTAATCATAGACATGCTTAGCAAACAAGTATGGAAAGATCCAAGGAGAGAAAGAAAGGGAGAGAGATTTTCTTTGCCTTAAGAAAAATTTATGTGGAAAAAAGTGAGTAAAGAATTTGAAAACTTACTCCACATATTTATAAGCAAGTTTCTACTATTCACCTTCGGATTTTTGGTCGTTAAAGTTCTGGCTAATTTTACCAAACTTGCCAAACAAGATCAAACCGCTCGCTTGAACTCTATGATTCTTATGGGCTGGGGGGCTAACTATTGGGGTCAAAATCGGTTATGACAGAATCAACGACCAAAACTTTCTGCAAAATCAATGAGCTGAACTAAACCAACCATGCTGAACTAAACCAACCATGCTCCTTAACTTGATCGTACTCTGAACCATGATTGTAATATCTCTTGTTTTGTCTCGATCCGTCTTACCGTTGAAGTTTTACGAAAAAAATCGTAAAAACCCGGTTTTCTCGTAAAACCTCGAGTAAATCATAAAAAACGGCAACGGTAAAAAAAATACCGAACATTGCTAAACTATACGATTAACTCAAGATATTTTATAAAAGACCGCTAGAGACTCGTTTTCTCGGAAAATCTCGAGTAAATCGTAAAAAACGGCAACGGTTAAACGAAACACCGAACATTGCCAAACTTTATGATTACTTTGAGATGTTTTTAAAAAACGCCATCGTATTATGAAACGATCTCATTTAAAGTCGTAAAATGGCTAAATCACAGAACGGCTCAGAAAAAACCTAAAACGCGATAAAAGTCTACTCACAATTTTAGACGAGATCCAGCCTGAAGATAAGATGACGGTTTACCCGTTACTCGCAGAAGTGGGAAAATGTCAAGTTTGAAGATAAAATAGAAGTTTTTCGAAGAAAAATGGAAAGATCGAGAAAAATGGAAGATTTTCGATAAGTGTGAACTGAAGCGGAAAAGGAAAGACCAACCACCTAGAGAAGGAGTATATTAGCAGAAGGCCGAGGACAAGAGAAAGGAGGATTTTCAGAGATCTCATCACACAGAAAAATTAGCATTTAGGCAACTTTCCGTTTTTGTTATCGAGCTGCGTCTCAACTAGGGTTTTAGTCTTAGGTTACCAGAACTAGGAAACTCGCCGTCAGCTCTTGTAGCCAAGGCTAACCTCGTTTTACCGTTCTTAGGCAAAATCGGAATAAGAAACCTCTTTGCTCTCTTTTCGATTCTTGTTTTATTTTATCATCTTTATCGTATTCTGATTGCTTGTGTGTGGTTAAGCAGATAGCCGGGACCTCTGGAAAATTAGGGTGTTCCCTAAGTTTCTTTATTCACGGAATTCGACGGTGTGAATTTCGGTTCCTACACTTGCTGCTATGTACATTATTCTAGGTAAACTTTAGAAAACTTAGGTACCTATTTGGTCGCATTAAAATGTATACAAGCTGAAAATTATATTTATACCAACCAACTATTTTAATAGTAAACTAGGTGATTTTTCCGTGCTCATGCACGGGTATAAATATTTTTAAATTAAATATATAATAATGATTGATTATTATTTACTTTTAATTTTAAATTAATTTATAATTTGTATGCATCATTTATATTAATAGTATTATATTACTTTACTTATACTATAATTTTATATATGTTATATCCAGTCAATTTTGTTGTTTTACGGTTGGTTTAGTTATCATTTGGATAAATTGGATTGCATCTCTGAATTCAACTGTAATATTTTTAAAATATATTAATTTTTAATTAGTTACTTATTTGCATATGGTGGGTGTTGTCTTAGATATGTAAATATATTTTAGAAAAATTATGTATAACTTAAGATATATTGTGCTTAGAATGAATTAAAAATTAACTAAAGTGTCTGATTCCAAAATACGTAAATTAATATAACAAAAATATTCTAAAGTCTCATGGATATATATAAATTTTACAAAAGAACTAAAATTGTAAGAGTTGGTTAGTATTTATTTTTATTTGTTAATATGTTTTGAGTTATCATATGATCAATATAAGGTTACATGCATTTATAAATTCTAAATAACTTTATGCTTTAGATTTATTGAATGTAAACTGAAATTTATTTTAAATAATCTTAAATTGAGAATTCAGATTTGCTTTGATATTTTGATTATGGTTATATTTTGTTTCACAAATATAAAACATAAAATTTAAAACAATTAATATTAATAAAATAAATAATTTTAAGAATGATAAAATATCATATATCTAGCTCATTAGAACAATTATTTTGACCAAACGATGTTTATTGTTAAATTTATTTTTAGTTTTTAATATCTCTTAAAAATAAGCACTACACAAAATTGTGATTGTATTTGAAAATAATATTATATAAGAAAAATATAAGTTCTGGATAATTTTCTGTAATTGAAAGATATTATAGTCAACTAAATATATGAAAAATAAATAAAAATTCAATAATACTAATTATAAACTAATTTATTACTCTAAAAGTATATTTTATGTTATTTAAAAATATTTTTAAATGTATTATTACTATTTTGTGAACTTTCCTTTTTTATGAAATTATATTATATATACATATATTTATGTTATTTAAAAATATTTTTAAATGTATTATTACTATTTTGTCAACTTTCTTTTTTTATGAAATCATATTATATATACATATATTTTCGTTTTAAATTTGTTTTTTATGACTTTATAAAAAATGACTTTTTATTGCATATCTTTTTGGAAATTTTTGAAAAGGAAAAACTAAAAATAAAAGAATTAATAATACTATTTTCAACTATTTTTAATTCATTAAGGGTATCAATGTAATCAACCATAGTGAGAATGAACGTGAGAGCGACACATAGAAAACTGACTTCTCAAATAATATTATAGAGATCTCCTGTGTTAAAAATTATTTTAACACTAAATATATTTTTGCTGACTTCTGTCTTTTTAAGACAACATTAAACAATTTCTTCTATTTAGAACTTCATGTCAACTTCAAAATTTCCAAGATTTTACGTAGTTGAATAATTACAAAAGTTAAGAAAACCAGTTTTAACACACATTAGCAGTAGAATATGTTCTAAGATAAGAGTATTCACCATCATATACCAAGTTCAAGACACATTAGCAAGTTCAACTCATAAGATAAAACCTTACAAAGGTCATATAGCCCCGTGCCTCCCAACATAAGGGTCACTGCTATTAACCGATTGTCTAAACTCCTCAACCTCCTCTAAACACGGATTGAACCTGAAATCTGAGAATCCACCCTCGGTCTCTAGCCATAATTAATTATGGCCAAACACATCTGTATAAATGAAATTAGGAAACATTTTACTCAACTAACACATTTAAAACTAAACATATTTCAAACTAAACACATTTAAAACTAAATATATTTCAAACTAAACACATAATATAATATACTTACTGAAACAGTTACAGATCTTCCACATCTTAAGCACCACAATCACATGTCCACGACCCCTCATAATTTCAAACTGATCTCGGAAGGCATATGCATGAGCGTAAGTTGCCACACATTTGATCTCACTCTCACTATTATAAATAAAAAAATGTGTATCAATTACATTAGTGTAAACAGCTGGCTTGGATCATATGTTTCTTTGTACTTACATGTTATCCCTAGTGTAAAACACCATCTCTGCCCTTATAGGGTCATCAAAATGGGCTTTTGTGTCGAAGACCACTACCATTTTATCTACCACATAATTGTTTTCGATTCTGTTAATTACATCTACATATCTGAAATATATTTTAGTGGTTAGAAATCATACATATAGGATAGTCTATGTCCATATAGCTGATGTGAGGGATTTGATGGATATTCTTGAATTCCATGTAATGCCGATTATTCAGAGGATCGATGATTTGGACTTTGTATACCACATAGCAGTTAGTCTATATCGAGAATTTCCTGCTCTGGAAACCTTGAAAGGCACGTTCAACTTTGACCCGAAAGATCTCCACCCACTTTCCCTCATGTTTCTCTAGTCCTTCAAAATCCTCTGCAGTTAAGGGATTAATGGTCATCTCAATCTTGTCCCCCTGCATAAATAAAGTTTATTAGATACATGAGAGATGAAGACCATTCTGTTTATACACATACATGTTCATCCGCTAGAACATAAACCCAATAGGGTCTGGGACCGGTAATCTCGTAGTATAACTTGTAGACCCTGAGTATTTTCACTCTGAAACGCCATGAAGTGAGCCTCCTGTCATCAAAACTCCACCAAGCTTATTGTAGTGGTCTGCCATATTTGAGAGATGATGTGTAGTTTCGTTGCTTTTCTTTTCGGTGATAGAGAAATGGTGATAAAGAAATGGAGAGGGAAGGAGACGATTTAGTAGGATTTAAATTCCCAAATTTAATGCCATTAAGATGAGAGAAATTCAACAGTAATGATGATTATACCCAACAAAAGGCGACTATTGCAGTTCCTACTCGTCTATCTCCATCAAATCACAATTACGATTTTGTACGGTTTGCGTTAAAATGCAACTGTAATGATGGTATATAAACGATCATTTCTCACAAAATATAACAATATCTAAATTTTGTTAAGTTTTACATAGTTTCAAATATTTATACAATTTAAATTGTTACATTTTTCTTACTTTCATAAATTTAGAGAATCTAAATCACTTAGTTCCACTTCCTTATACATAATTATATATCTTAATAAGTTACAGTTATACAAAGTTCCAATTACAAGAGATGCGACTGTCGATAGTTAGAAGGCGTGTGAGAGAAGTCATGTCTTCTCGAGGAGTCCATCAAATAATACCTATATAAATGAACACGCCACTACTTGAATCATTTATTACAAGATTTTTCTCAAACTAAATATATTGCTAGTTGATGTCATTAAATATAAGACTACTTATTACAATCAGTGTTGAAACTTATCAACACCATTGTAAAACAAAATGGATCCATCTTACATGACGTGACAAATATTGATTAAAAAAAGTTTTTTAGGTTTGTCTCTCAAATTTTAATTCCAACAAAAATAGATAGATGAAGACAAGTGTAAGAATCCTTTGAAATGGATCCAAATAATCATTTCATGTTTGTGGTTAATGAGATTTTTAAGTTTTTTTGCTTTATCACTAAAATCCATTGAAATGGATCCAAATAATCATTTCAAGTTTGTGGTTAATGAGATTTTTAAGTTTGTGAGTTGAATTTATAAGTTATTTGTGTTTTATTAGTTTTATTATGTTTTTATCATTGTTTTATTGTATTTTTAGGTTTTCAAGATTGTATGTGTTTTAATAATAATTATCTATTTTCGTGTTTATTACTTAGAATTTTTATAAAAATAATACATAAGAATCAAGGGAAGATAACGGGAATGCGCATCACACATGTGTGTCCTTCTATATCTCACCTTCTCTTTGCTGATGATAGCATGTTCTTTTGTAAGGCGGAGCCCCGTGAATATGAAGAAGTAATGAAAGTGGTCAGGAAATATAGACAAGGCTCTGGACAATGCATTAACTTTGACAAATCTTCCTTACTCTTTTGTAAGAGAATTCGACAGGATGTTAGGCAAAAGATTAAAGACACACTTGGGATTCAAAATTAAGGGGGGGGGGGATGGAAACATATTTAGGAATCTCATAGGATATCAGTGGTTCCAAATGTAAGCTTTTTGCTTTCCTACAGGATAAGCTAAGGAATAGAGTAAATGGATGGGCGGGTAGGTGGCTATCAAAAGGTGGTATTATGATCAAGTTTATCCTGCTAGCACTCTCGACTTATGTAATCTCCTGCTTTCTACTTCCGTTGGAGATCTGTGATGCTTTAGCTAGTGCCGTTGCACAGTTCTAGTGGAGTTCAACCCCCCCCCCCCAAAAAAAAGAGGTATACATTGGTCAACATGGGAAAAATTATGTTTATATAAAGAGGAAGGAGGGATTGGGTTCATGAAGATTCATGAGTTTAACCTGTTATTGTTAGCAAAGCGGTTATGGAGATTGGTCCAATACCCAGATTCTCTGGTAGCTCGAGTCTTAAGAGGCCGGTATTATCGATTGGCTCGCCATTGCGTCAGCTTACTGTCAGTAACCCATCGTATGTGTGGACAAGTATATTGGCGGCACGAGAATTACTATTTCTGGGAGTTAGACAGAAAATTCATTCGGGCTATGAAAATTCATTCGGGCTATGAGGTGAAAGTATGGGAGGATCCCTGGATTCCTACTATACCAGCGAGACCAGTGTTCTCATCTGCACCGGTTTTGCATCCGAACATGAGAGTGAGTGACCTTATTAATCAAGAAACAAAGACTTGGGATGTGGTCCGGATGGAGAACTACGTTGCTGCTTCTGATATACTTCTCATAAAGATTATGTCAATTAGTTCAACACATCACAGGGACACGTATTGCTGGAGCTGTACAAAAAATGGACAGTACATAGTCAAATCTGGGTGTTGGGTTGTACGAAATATTTTGATGAAGGAGGAGGTGGCTGAAGTTTGTGAACCTAGTATCACAAAAATCCAAGCACATCGCTTGGAAGGTTAAGGCTCCCCAAAAGATGTGTCATCTTATGTGGCAATTAAGAACAGGTCATGTGGCTGTTACAAGTGCTTTAAACTATAGACATATGAGATGTGATAATTACTGTCCACGATGTGGGGAACCAGAAGAATCAGTTACACATGCAATTTTTCAGTGTCCACCTGCAATGCAAGTTTCAGCCTTATCATCTATGCCTATTAGCCCTACCTTGTTTCCACTACAGAACACATATGAGAACATGGACTATCTCTTCTGGAGGAAAAACGCTATAACATAACCGGAATTTGACAGGGATCCTTATCCTTCGCTAATATGGTATATTTAAATGGCTAGAATGATAAGTTGTTCAAAGGAATTGATAGAGATTCATTGGAGTTAGCTCGTTATCCAGAGAGTGAGTGTCAATTCTGGTTCTAAGCCAATGAATAGATTATATCGCCATCTCAAGGAAACATAAATGTTAAAAGCCAGGCCATAAGTCTGGAAAATATTTGTATGGTGGATGGCTCTTGGACCTCTACAGCTCAATTCAGTGGATGTGCTTGGGTCTGGAATAATAGTATGGGGAATAGTCAGTTAATGGGTATGCGCAATTTTAATAGAGTGGAGTCTGCTTTGCACTTTGAACTGGAAGCACTACGGTGGGCAATGGAGAATATGCTTTAACATTCGCCATGTCAGAGCTTTGGGACTGACTGCAAGGAGATGATAGGGATGCTCAGGACTGGCCAAGCTTTTCAACGAAACTTGAAAAGCTCACGACGTTGCAGATTTGCTTTCCAGACATAAAATTTTCTATGCTCGTTATGCAGAGATTGAGTGTCAAGTCTGGTTCAAAGCCAATGAACATGGACTATCTCCACTATAATAAAATTACGCAATCCGATTAATTGGGTATTTCCCAAACTTTCATTCCAACCCCAGCCACTTTCACTAAACTGAGCAGTAGCAGTCCATGAGCCATCCACCAAACAAATGTTCCCCAGACTTATGGCCTGGCTTTCCACATTTATGTTTCCTTGAGATGGGGATAAAATCTGGTCATTGGCTGAAACCTCGCTTGACACTCACTCTCTGCATACCTGGCTAGCTCCAATGGATCTCTGTTAACTCCCCTAAACAACTTATCGTTACGAGCCTTCCATATATACTAAATTAGCTAGGGATAGGGATCCCTGTCCAATTCCGGCTCCATAATGTCATTCTTCGTCCAAAAAAGATAGTCCATATCTGCATATGTACTCTGTAGGGGAAACAAGGTAGGACTTGCGGGCGTAGAACATAAGGCCTAAACTTGTAATGCCGGAGGAAACTGAAAGATCGCATGTGTGATTGTTTCCTCTGGTGCGCCAAATACAGTGAGTTAAACTGAGTTATAAATCAATTAAAATTTGCAAGCCCACAAGAATAATTACATCTTCTTTACACATCAATAATACAACCACCATTAAGCTTTCGATCAATGATCATCATGCTTCCATCTATGAATCGTGTGTTTCCGTCACGCTTCCAAACATCACAATTCTGAAAGTGTAATTCCGCGACGATTTCATGCGATTTCGAACGTTTCCGGTTCTCATTCCCACTTCAGAAATAAGTAACGTACCTCCATCAGTGATTCCGTGTAACGTAGATTTAAACATACATAACATCTTTTTACGCTAAAAATAAAATTAATAATTTCATTTTGTGCAAAGTGCGAATTATTACCTAACTAGATGATAACTCGCGCCATGCGCGGTGGGAGCTTTTTAAAAATATTTTGTATTTAAATAAATATTTTTCTATCGGTACTTTTTTTACATTTGATTAGGAATGCACACTTGGATACAGTTTGGTTTGGTTAGATTCTGTTTGGTTTAGATCTTTGCGGTTTGATTCGAATTTTTGTAGGTTCGGATAACCCATTTAATTTTTTTTAAACATTAAAATTTATACATACATTAAATTTTTCAAAATCTAAAAGTAAAAATAATATATAACATATAAATTTGAAAAAATTAATGCCAAAATACTTAAACTTAACATAAAATTGGTTTATCTTAAATATTTGGACAAAAAAATCAATAAATATTTCAAATATTTTTCGTATTTGGAGTATCGTTTAGCTATTTTAAAAATGTACATTTAAATATTTTATCTATTTCTAAGTATTTTGGAAAATTTTAAAAACTCTCATGTATTTTGTATATTCGTAAGATGTTAAATTTAAAAATACTTAATATATTTAAGTATATAAATTTGGTTCGAGTACACTCGGATACCCGAGATATTTCAATTCAGTTTTGGTTCTCTAGATACCAAAATTTTGAATCTGTTCGGATATCTAACCAATTTTAGTTAAAAATTTGTACTACTTTTTGGATTAGATTTAATTCGGTTATCTGGATTTAGTTTTTTGCCTAACCATATATTTTTATTGTAACAAAAATTTAAACGAAAGGAATGATGGTTCATATTGATTTTGGGTATGCAATAATTTTTAAACAAAACACACT